AGGTAGGTAGGTAGGTAGGCAGGCTTGTATAGAAACATATATACATATATGAAATATACACACATGAATATCATGTTTGTGTTTTGCGTTTGCGATTGCTTGGAAGTAGCCGAGGCTTGGGAGTGGAGCATTGGACCCAAGGCTTGCAGGTTCAAGCCAACATCCCTGTTTGTGCGGCAAGACGCTCCGTCCTTGCCTCGGTCCTAACGCCGACTTGATTGGTTCTGTTATTAGTATTCGGATTTAGGGTTTAGGGCAGGCTGGCAGATTGTGGTAGCCTGGAATTACGTCGTCGGGTCAGGAACGGTTCTGCCGAGCTGCTCCTGGTGGATGACGCATCCTTTGCGGCGACTCTCCCGGCGTCTTAACTGCAATAGGCACCTGCGCTTCTTGTTCATCTTCTTGTTCTTCTTCATCATCTGCTTCTGAGCATGTTCGGTTGCGTTTGTCCTTGCTAATTCAGGGGGACGTGCTTGGAGCTCTTCTACATCCTCTGCAAGCCATTCCACTTGAGCAACCAGTGGAAGTAAACGGCCTGCGTTGAGCGAGTTGAAAACAACAGGAAGTCTTCCGTAAAGGCTCCACTTCAGGTTGATAGTTTTGACTGTTCCTTCTGTCTCCTCCGGCATAGGTAGCTGCAATAATCGCTAGACAAGCACACCAGCTTGTACAGGTGCTAGTTCTGAATGCCATGTGTTCCAAGGGGCTTAGTGCACTTCATGGTCCAATGCCGCAGTGCCTGAAGGTGGATCCCAGCTTGAAAGTATAGACTGGCCAGAGCTTGCCAAACACAGAGTTTTGATGGCACATGCACTCCTGGCTCAAGCGGGGATGGGCACAAGAATGGCTGATCCTGGCGAAGGCTTCCAGAGCTTTCGCTGCCTGGTTGTAGAGTTTGGTCAGTTCGACCGGAGGCCACCCAGCGGAGGCCGAGCGCATACCATGAGCATCGTGCCGGCCAATGCCAGTGGACCCTTCATCGTGCAAAGCTTGGAGACCTGCTTCCATGCCAGGGATTATCGCTCGTCTCTGTAGTGGAACGAAAATCGCTGCCGCTACCAGCTGGCGTCTAAATGTGTTGCCGATCCTGAGGCCTGGGTTCCACAGGAGCCGCCTTGATGATTGTTTCGAAGCGAGTGCTTATGCGAGCCCTGGAGCGCAGGACAGATGTCGGTAGAGCCCTATGGGATTTGGCCGGTGTCGGAAACTCTCGGCAACTTCAGATGGCATCTCGCTCTCGCTGTCCAGTGTCTGGCTTTGAGGCCGGGCCACCTGATGGATCTCATCTGGGCCGCGGGAGGGTGGGATCCGATGTCGCGGTCTGAGCTGTCGCTTTGGCAAGGGGAGAAACGAGATTTCTCGATTTGCAAAGGTCGCCCGTGCAATGCAGTCAGAGCCTGCCCTGCCCTCACGGTGCAACTCTCTAAGTGAGATGAGGATCTGTGGACAAGGGCTCATCGTTGCCTCCTCTCATGTGCTCTTCTTGCAGTGTAGCCCACTGGACTGGCAACAGCGCAAAGCGGTTCTCAAATCGTAGGTCCACAGCTATGATGGTTGACCTTCCACTTCCTGTTGTGCAGCATATGTTTTGGCAGAAAATCAGCTTTCCCAGCTTCTCGTGTTAGGTCGTCGTACATCATCATATATACGTGGCAGATGACATGTCGAATTGTGCGAGTCATTATGTGTCAGATCCTGCAACGGGCCAAGCGTCAGACTTCATATGTCTAACGGAGTGTCGGCACAGGCATCGGTTCTCACCTAAGGTCTTAGGTTCTGTGTCAGCTCGGGTGCCACCTCGTATGTCTCAAGTTGGCCTGAAAGTGGAGGATCCTGCTTTCCTTCAGAGCAAAGGGTTCTGGAGTTGCAGGGAATACGCGACCCTGGCAAATTGTCGGATCCTCAATGCAAAGTCCCCCAAATGCGGTGCCCGGCGAGGTTGGCCGCCTTCGAAGGATGCAACTCGAATCTGAGTTTCTCGTCTCAGTTCAGTATCGCAGTCTGGCAAGAGCTGATGTGAGGGAGTCGGGGCTGGAAGCAACGGTCTGCCAAGTAGGGGTCACTTGTGGCAGACTCTGCCTCTTTGGACAGGTCGCTTGACCACGGTGCTGAGGCCGGCACTGAAGGCCAGAAGACTTCTCTCGATTCTGAAGACAGGGGATCCCTGTTGCAGCTGCAAGGAGCACAGGAGGAGGGAGATGAGGATGAGGCACGGCCTCACAAATGCTTGCTGCGATTCGAGTATGCGTTCCAGAGGCGCCAGAGTCTCCTCCGTCACCCATCCGAGTTCGTCGACAGGCCCGCTCAGTGAGCAAAACTATCACAGGATTCTTGTTGGCCAAGAGCAATCCGTGTACAGCCTGTTGTTGCCCTCCGCGGCAAGGAGAAAGTGCCCACCAACGCACGTGCGCGGCTGCTTGCAGACAGCTCTGACAGTTGGGGACCAAGTGCAGTTGTGCTGTTGTGCACTGGCGATAAGCGCCCCAACATATCCATACTTGCCTGCAGGTGATGATGCAAGCCGGATGCCAAGAGCACTTCTGCCGCCTTCGTTTGTTCTTGTCTGTGACCTACCTATACACCTATACTTTCAAATTTCGTCATGAGTCGTGGAGGCTGTTCATGCTTCCTTCCATGCCTGACTCATGTCGCTCATATCTGTAAGAGGATGTAGCCAAAACTGAGCTGGGGAGCCGACAAGCTCCAAGCTCCTTTTTCTTCTGCGGGGGGTGCTCCAGTCCGAAAAGGCCTTCCTCCGGCTTATCGAAACATGATGGAAGATATTTGCATGCTCTGAAGGAAATGGCAAGATGCACGGTGAAGGGCAATGGACGCATGCCGCATCTGTCCTCGCCACCTTGCTGGGGCCGTTGCACCGGATGAGCACTCGCACGGCGAACAACAAGTGTCCTGTCCCAGCTTATACAGCCCAGCTCTGTCGCAACAGAGAGAGAGAGGGAGAGAGAGAGATCTCTCAGGTTGGCAAGTGAATGCAAGAAAGCACATAAACAAGAAACGCAGAAGGGCCAATCATCTCGTATCTCGTTTTGGAAGCTTGCATGGCAGGATTCGATTCCATGTCGTGATCTGACATGTCACGTCACGTTCGTTCCCAATTTGGCACTTGCAAACAGGCATTCTTGCAGTTTGCAGGTTCAGTTCAGCAGTTACATGAGATTTGGAATTTGGACAAGCCAGATGTGAAAGTCTAGTTAGGAGAGCCTGGCAGTCGGAAGATCACGCATATCACGCCTCTTCCCAGCTAGTTTCCCTCAGAGTGATCATTGCTGTGCCTCACAGAAGACTAATGGTATGCTGGCCTGGCTGCATGCATCTGTACTTTCGTACTAACATGCCATGACTCATCAAGTCATCAAGATCCATTCAATTTCTATCTCGTTGTTTATGAGCTGCTCCGGCTCCATCGTCCCGCTTGGAACCAGGGCCTGTGCGGCCTGCGAAACCCAGCAAGGCAGGGCTTCGCGCAGAGAACACAGAAAAAGCCGTGCAAGCGCAATGCAGGGCTCTGCATCTCACATGTCGCCAGGCTGCAGCAGGTGATGAAGCCCATGCGAGTCATGAGCTGGACACGGGTCCTCAGCGACACGACTGAACACCATGTGAAGACTGTGGGATGTATGTACTTCCGTGGACAGTATGGCCTGCCAAGGGTCTTCGCAGAAGCGGCCCAGGATCGAAAGAGCATCAGCCAACAGATTCTGAGATGGTTCGCCTGTTCTATGGAATGTAACTTTCAACCGATTCCTTGCAGAGGAGACCATCCTGTCCAGTCGGAAGCCGACATTCGCTGCTTCCGCAGATTTCGGGCCATTATGGTCGCCACATGTCTGAGGTCCGATGGCCGCTGAAGCGCTTCCGGACAGCCAGGCAGAGCCTTCGTTGTCTTCCTGTCTTCAATGTCTGTAAGATCTTTCGAATGTCATGTGCCTGATGCGATTTGGTGCGATACTTCGAGGGATTTTCGTTGTCAGCATCTGGCTGTCCGCATGCTGCAAGGACCCACATCCGGAAAGCCAGGGCTCGGATGGCTATCCGGCATCTGCCTGAGAAGCTTTCTTCGGAACCGGTGAAGGGTACACTTTGTGGCCAAGAGAGGCGGCTGGTCGTGATCATGCGGGTGGCGGGCCGAGTTCCTCTCTGGAGACGGTGAGTCGGGATGCTGTGGGAAACGAGGTCCGGCGCCCGAGGCAACCAAGGCGAAGGCACAGTTTCAAGCGTGTCGGTGCATTGAGTGACTAGGCCACCGAGGGATACCCAGAGTGTCCGGGGGCAGAGAGTGCCGTCCTGAGTGTGGATGGGTATGTGATGCCTGTGCGTCGAACGGCAGGTGCACAGGGGCAAGCCAGAAGCGAGTCAGAGGAAGCAGGCTAGACCCGACAGGCTTGCTGCTTAGGGGCGGCCGGCGATGTAGATTCTGTGGCGAAGTCATGCCGCTCTGTGATTGCCAGCACGGCTTTTGCGAGGCCTGTGATAGCAAGAAGCAGAAGGGAAGACAGCCATGAGGAGGCGACGCA